GAGAGAGAGAGAGAGAGAGAGAGAGAGAGAGAGAGTGTCTCAACAATTCCTGATAAATTTGGATCGGTAAAAAGTACACGTCATAATTTTAATTCTATATTTGTTTTGCCATAATTTATATGAATACCATTAATTCTTTAACGTTTCCATCAAACTTATAGCTTTTAGAAATATTGTTATAATAATCCTTAGTAGTAGTAGTAGTAGTAGTAGTAGTAGTAGTAGTAGTAGTAGTAGTAGTAGTAGTAGTAGTAGTTGTAGTGTAGTAGCAGCAGCAGCAGCAGCAGCAGCAGCAGCAGCAGCAGCAGCAGCAGCAACAGCAGCAGCAGCAGCAGCAGCAGCAGCAGCAGCAGCAGTAGTAGTTGTAGTAGTAGTAATAGTAGTAGTAGTAGTAGTAGTAGTAGTAGTAGTAGTAGTAGTAGTAGTAGTAGTAGTAGTAGTAGTAGTAGTTGTTGTTGTTGTCGTTGTTGTAGTAGAGGAGGAGGAGGAGGAGGAGGAAGAGGAGAAGGAGGAGGCGTGGATGTGTACATGATAGTGTCTAATAGTGCAAGAAATGGTAATGATGTCAATTGTATGAACTTACCTATGAAAGCTCCTACTTCCAAAACTCGACTTTATCCTCCAACTGACGAGAGTACACTGGCATTGTCGTTTGTTTGTTGGTTGGTTTTTTGTGGGGGGGTTTTCTATTAAAAAATCACTTGATGTACTTTGTAACCAAATGTTAACTGAACAGTAACGCTCCGTCAAATCATTTAACCATCCCAATTCTGCCACTCTGGAGAGTCAATAACACTGCCCTATTAATGTAATGACACAATAGCACGCACGTGAACAGATACACACAAAAAAAGGGTTAGTGACAACAACCCGTTTCCTAGAAGTCAGGACCTAAATAAAAAGGCTACAAGAATCACGAACCGTCAAGAATGACCAGTGAACCAGTAGCACGAACCGTCACGAAGTCCAACCGACCCCGCTTCGCCCCGTCCCCATCCCCTTCCCCTCTCGGGCGTGCAGATTTTCTTCTCTAGGCGAGCACCGTGCGCACGACGCATGATCGGTGGAGGTGAGCGGAGAGAGAAGATACAGAGCCTATGCGAGTTACTCCCCATTGCTCTCTTCCCCGCCCCCCTGACTCCTCTCTCTCTCTCTCTCTCTCTCTCTCTCTCTCTCTCTCTCTCTCTCTCTCCCTCTCTCTCTCTCTCTCCCTCTCTCTCTCTCTCTCTCTCTCACACACACACACACACACACACACACACACACATACACACTCTTTCTTTCTCCCTCCCCCCTCTCTCTCTCTCTTTCCATCTGTCTCCTCTTCTTCTCTCGTCCTCGCCCCCCCCTCTCTCTCTATCTCTCTCTCTCTCTATCTCTCTCTCTCTCTCTCTTTCTCCCTCTCGCGCTCCATTTGTCTCTTTTTCTTGTCTCTTTCTCTCCATGTCTCTCCCTCTCTCTCACACACTCTCACACTCTCTTTCGCACTCTCCCTCTCCCTCTCTCTCTCACACACACTGCCTCCCCCCCCCTCTCTCTCTCTCTCTCTTTCTCTTTCCCTTCCTCTCTCTCGCTCTCCACCTGTCTCTTCTTCTCCTCTCTGTCTCACCCTCTCTTTCCCCCTCTCTCTCATCCCCCCCCCCCCCCGCTCTCTCTCTCTCTCTCTCTCTCTCTCTCTCTCTCTCTCTCTCTCTCTCTCTCTCTCTATCTCTCCTTTTTTTTCTCTCTCTTTCTCTCTCTCTCACAGACACACACAAACACACACACCCTTCATTTCCCTAGTCCTTTTTTAATACACTCTCCTTTTCTCCTCCTTCCTACCCCTCCCCCTCCCTCTCCCCCTCCTTAATTCCGATCTGTCTTCCTGTTCCCTTTTCTCCTTTACTTTACCATCGTCCTCTTATTCCACAATTTTCTACCTCCTGCCATCCACAGGCACCCCTCTCGCCCCCACCCAAATCCCCTTCTATTCCCGGCCTTGACTGATCATTACCACACGCTACAGAGGTTGTGGAAGGGGGTGGTGGGGTTGGAAGGGATGCCTCTTTGCTGACCATCATAGCTGAGCTGTCAGATTTGATGAGGTCCTCCACTTCACGGGAAACTTATCCGTAATGGCGGTGACAGTAAGGGTTCTATTTAATACTGTGGTCGGCAGTCTCGTCTATAGACGTGACGCTAACCCCCAGAATCGACTATCGCAGGACAAAAAGAAAGCAACATTTACGTGGATAGACGAAACAAACAGATACATTTTATCAACAGAACAACTTTGTTGGAGCAAAAACCATTACTTATCTTTCTATCCGAGAAGATAAACGTGTTTTATTTTATTTATTAATTTACCGTTTTTAGTGGAGGGGGGTGGCGGGTGCGAATACAATTAAATCAACAAAGCAATGTGTAATAGTAGTAGTAGTAGTAGTAGTAGTAGTAGTAGTAGT